AGAAGAAGAAGAAGAAGAAGAAGAAGAAGATGGCTCAGAGGAGGTAGACGCTTCAGAAGATCCTTCATCAGCATCAATGGCTATCAAGCAGACATAGGCTTTATCCTCTTCGTCCGAAGATGATTCATCAGATGATTCAGCCCAGTCATGCTCTTCAGCAATAAGGCCTTTAGCCTATCGCTGGTTGTTCTTCATCTTCTTGTATTTCTCCTTCAGTTTTAAGTATTTTTCATCTTTGGTCCTGAAGGGGGAAGGAGCTTTAGAAGATGGCGTCGCAGTCTTCTTTGATCTGCATTCACCTGCAAAATGTCCGGGCCGGTGACAGTTGTAGCAGACAGCTGAAGCCTTGTCTATTCTTTCAGACTTTGGCTTCTCCTTGAGGGATAGTTGAGGAGACCTGTGGAAGTTGCTCTTACTGGCAAACCTCCTAAATGACTTAGTTAGGAGTGCCAGGGACTCATCAAAATCTGAAAGAGCAGATTCTGGAATGTCCTCAGAAGAGTCCATCTCCGTAATGACTACGGGAGGTAGAGAAGAAACGAAAGGGGTAGAAGACATTTCAACTGAAGAAGCTTCAGAGATCAAAGTTAGAGGAGAGCTTTTCATTTCCCTGGATTCTCTTACAATATTCCTTTTCAGTTGACGAGATTGCTCATGGTTAAGCAGAATCCCATATAAGGTAGAAAGAGAAAGAGTGGACATGTCATTTGACATCTTGAGACACATAGAAAAGGTGTCCCAAGACTCAGGAAGGCATTCTAAAAACTTAGTCAAAGTTTCAGAATTAGAATCTGCTGACAGCCCTAAGATCAATAAGTAGGCAGTTAAATTTTTGATGTACTTCAGACAGCGTCTCAGACTTTACACAGAGAAAACTTTCATACTGTCTTACTAGATTGATCTTTCTAGTCTCCTGAACCTGAGTGGTTCCTTCATATTGGACACATAGTGTATGCCATATGGATTTAGAAGTTTTGAATTTCATCACAGAGTGATAGATCTCATCAGGAAGAGACATAGCTATTATAGACCGAGCACGCGTGTCTATAGCTATCTTCTTCTTGTCCTCATYGCTYCACTGATGTGGAAGCTTTGGAATCTGCCGTTCAGGAATCGCGACAGTCGTAGATGCTGCTGGAACAGCCGGAGCAATAGCAAATGGAATATATGGTCCATTTTCTATATAATGTGGAATTTCAGGATCCACACCTTCCAGAAAGAGGGACATCCG